CTTTACTTCATCCAACAAGCCTTGGATGATGATGTCTTTCCAAGAATTGCTGCAGCTTCTACATCCAAAGAAGCATGGAGTATTCTGAAGCAAGAATACATGCGAGATAAAAAGGTGATCTCCATGAGGCTGCAGACCCTAAGGAAAGAATTTGAGAACTCTAAAATGAAGGAGAAGGAATCAATCAATGACTATCTTTCAAGGATCACATCTCTAGTGCAGCAGATGAGATCCTATGGTGAAGAGGTCAAGTCCAAGCAGATTGTGAGCAAGGTTTTAAGAAGCCTTACAAAGAAATATAGCCATGTTGTGTCAGCTATTGAGGAGTCCAAAGACTTGGAAGTCTATACATTTGATGAACTAAAAGGATCTCTCCAAACACATGGAGAGAGTGATAGGCTTGGGGGACAACAACAACTTATTCAATACTTCAATAAGGTGTACAAGAGGAGAAATAAGTAGTATTATTACTTAACTATATAATAGCTAGTTCGGTTGGTCCCTGCGTGGACAATTAGCTATAAATAGTAAGTAGAGAACAAAATAAGGAGGCTGTTATTTTGTCATTGGCTGGTACCTTGGAGATTGGGCATCTCGAACTGTCCCACCCCTGTATTCCTTTACCGACTTTCTCTCTTTCGCTCAATAAACTGTTGTGATCTGTTCTAGCTACATTTTTCTTAGAATTGTGATTGTTCTGTGTTCATTACTACCAGTGTTCTATCATTGGTATCAGAGCAATTGTTCTGGTGATCGGAAAATTCGTAGAAGCATCGCCAGAAAGTTTTTTCTCTCGATCGGAATTGTGAATGGTCCGAACGAGAGGCAAAATGGAAAATCTAAGGGAGGAGATGGAACGTAGCAGAATAGCGACTGAGGAAACGCTGTTACACATGAGAACGATGATGGATAACATGACGGTAAGAATGGATGCTATGAGCGAGGAATTCCGCGCGAGTAGGAGGTCGCGATCTCACCATCATCATCGTCGACAGACTTCGCACAGCCCTGCGACGTCTAGAGGTAACTCAGTATATTCTAATATCCATAATCATCTTCGTACTGAGGAGCATGTGAGATTACCTGTACGTACTGGAAGAAAAATTGATTTACCATTGTTTAATGGAGAGGGAGCTTACAACTGGATAATACGAATGGAGAGATATTTTAGATTGAATCAGATTGCTGAAGAGGAGAAGGTGGAAGCATCTATGGTCGCCATGGAGGACAGAGCTTTGAATTGGTTTCACCTGTGGGAAAATCAGACGGAAGAAACAAGTTGGGAGGTGCTGAAGAAATCTGTTATCCGTAGATTTCAACCGGAATTACTTCAAAATCCGTACGGGCCTATACTCAATGTGAAACAAACGGGAACTGTGGAGGAATACAGAGCAGAATTCGAAATGGTGATAACACCACAACAGAATATGGATACAGAGTTATTGAGAGGAATTTTCATATCAGGCCTCAAGCAGGAGATCAAATCTGAGCTGAAACTGTTTGCTTCCAGATCGTTGACTGAAATTATGGATAAGGCCATTCTAATTGAGCAGAAGAATGAGGCCAAATATTTGAAGAGAAAAGAGGAGGATAAATTTTCTGGGAAGGAGAGAGGACCGTTGCCTATGAAAAATCAGAATTGGGGTGAAGGATTCAAGAGCAGATTTGGCAATTCCTGGTCAAATCAGAGAAAAAATGGGGCTGAAGACAAGAATAACAATGCTTGGTTTGATAAAGCAGGATGGAAGATTACTGAAATACATCCCTCTGGCATTAGGAAAAGTTGGACCTCAGTTGTCACAAGAAGAATATCAGGAAAGAAGTAGGAAGGGACTTTGTTTTAAATGCGGAGAGAAATGGAATAGGGATCATACTTGTAAACTGAAAAACTATAAGCTGATTATGGTAGAAGATTCCACAGAAGAAGAAAATTCTGATGGGGGAGAAAGGGAAATTCCTGTAGAAGAGGAGACTAGCATGGAATCAAAATCAATGCAGTTATCACTCATGAGTAAGGAAGGGATTCCTTCCATGAGAGCTTTCAAGGTGAAGGGTTGCTTGAAATGGGAATTGGGAGAAAAAGAAGTGGACATACTCATTGACAGTGGAGCTACTCACAACTTTATATCTTAAGGGATGGTGAAAAAACTCAGGATACCTTACACCATTATTACAGGGTATATATAAGGTACAGATTGGCAATGGTGACAAACTGGTTAATAATGGGAGGTGTGAAGCATTAACTGTAGATTTACAAGAAGCAGTAATTGAGCAGGATTTTTATATCCTGGATCTCGGGGGTAGTGATATGGTGCTTGGGATGGAATGGTTGACCAGCTTAGGAGATGTGGAAGTCAATTTTAAAAAACAGGTGATCAGGTGGCAGGAGCAAGGGAAGAATCAAATAATACAAGGGGATCCACATTTGAATTCTCTGGAGGTATCTTTGAACACCACGACTCAGATTCTAAATGATGCAGGGGATGGTTATTTGATTCTTTGTGAAGGCAAGTCTGGGGAATTTAAAAAAAGGGGAAGAAATAGATGAAACTTGGAAGTAGATTTTGGCAGAGTTTCCAGAAGTTTGCACACCTTTGAAGACACTTCCTCCCAGCAGATCATGTGACCATGCAATTAATATTCAGCAAGGAGCACAGATCCCAAACATAAGGCCCTACTGGTATCCTCATTACCAGAAAATTGAAATTGAGAAAATCATAAAGGAAATGCTCAATGAAGGTATAATCCAGCACAGTAATAACCTTTATAGTAGCCCTATCTTATTAGCTAAGAAGAAGGATGGGCGTTGGAGGTTCTGTGGTGACTATAGGGCTTTGAACAAGATTACTGTACCTGACAAATTCCCTATACCTATCATTGAAGAACTGCTGGATGAGTTAGGCGGAGCTATGATTTTTTCCAAATTGGACTTGAAATCTGGTTATCACCAGATAAGAATGAAGGAGGAAGATAGGCAAAAGGCTGCATTCAGAACTCATGAAGGGCATTATGAGTACTTGGTAATGCCCTTTGGTTTGACCAATGCACCATCTACTTTCCAAGCACTCATGAATCAAGTCTTAAGGCCTTTCCTCAGAAAATTTGCCCTGGTTTTCTTTGATGACATTCTCATATATAGTAAATCCAAGGAAGAGCATCAAACACATTTGAGGAAGGTATTACTTGCATTGAAGGAGAATCAGTTAGTTATAAACTCAAAAAAATGTTCTTTTGGGCAATCTGAACTGGTATACTTGGGTCATATAATATCTGGGAGTGGAGTTGCTGCAGACCCTACCAAGATAGAGGCTATGATTCAGTGGCCATAGCCTAAGGATGTGAAAGGATTGAGGGGATTTGTGGGACATACTGGCTACTACAGACGGTTTGTAAAAGGGTATAGCAAGATTGCTTTACCTTTAACACAACTTCTAAAGAAAGACAGTTTCCGGTGGGGGACAGAGGCTACAAAGGCGTTTGAGGAATTAAAGAACAGGATGACCACTCTACCAGTTTTAACAACCCCAGATTTTAATAAGGTCTTCATTGTAGAAACGGATGCTTCTGGTACAGGTCTGGGGGATGTTTTGATGCAGGAAGGTCGGCCTATTGCATATATGAGTAAGGAATTGTCTAAAAGAAACCAGAACAGGTCAGTCTATGAAAGAGAGTTGATGGCTATTGTTTTGGCAGTCCAAAAATGGAGACCTTACCTGTTAGGTAGAACTTTTGAAGTTCATACAGATCAGAAAAGCTTAAGATTCTTAACAGAACAAAGATTGTTGGGGGAGGAGCAACAAAGATGGACTTCCAAATTACTGGGTTACAATTTCATTATCAAGTATAAACCTGGAGTGGAGAATAGAGCTGCAGATTCTTTGTCTAGAAGACCCTCTCTCAATGCTATTTCCATAGTCACCTCACAGGAATGGGAAGGTTTGGAAGAAGAGTTACTTACAGATCTCAAATGCCAATCAATACTCCAGCAGATCATATCACAGCCAGATCAACATCAGGAGTTTCAGACTATCAAGGGGTTATTATATTACAGAGGGAGACTAGTTTTACCTAGTAAATCTCCTAGAGTTATCAGAATTATGAAGGAATATCATGATTCTGCTATTGGTGGTCACTCGGGATATTTTAGAACAATGAAGAGAATATCTAATTTATTTTATTGGCATGGAATGAGAAAGGACATAAAGAAGTTTGTGGAGGAATGTCCTACATGTCAAACAAACAAATATCAAGCTCTAAAACCAGCCGGGTTGTTACAACCCCTGCCTATTCCTCAGAATATCTGGACTGACATTTCCATGGATTTTGTGGGAGGGCTGCCAAAATCACATGGAAAAGATACTATCATGGTGGTTGTGGACAGACTGACTAAGTCAGCTCACTTCTTAGCTTTATCACATCCATTTAATGCCAAAGAGGTGGCTGAACTTTTCATCAGAGAGATAGTCAAGTTGCATGGGTTCCCCAAAACTATTGTGAGTGACCGGGATAACATATTTATGAGTGCCTTTTGGTCTGAACTCTTCAAATTAGCTGGAACTAAACTCAAATACAGCACAACTTATCACTCACAAACAGATGGACAGACAGAAGTAGTCAATAGATGCTTGGAAACCTACCTGAGGTGCATTACTGGAAAGAAACCTAAACATTGGGCTGACTGGTTAGCTTGGGCAGAATTCTGGTATAATACCAACTATCATGCATCCCTGAAAATGACACCCTACAAAGCTCTATATGGCCAGGACCCTCCTACAATGATTAGAGGGGATGCTAGTATTACAGCTGTTGAAGAAGTCTCCAAAATGACTGCACAAAGAAACATGATGCTCAGAGAATTGAAGGAGAATTCGGAAAGAGCCCAAAATCAAATGAAACAACAGGCAAATAAGCACTGGAGAGAGGTGCTTTTGACAGTGGGAGATATGGTCTATTTGAAAATACAACCTTACAAGCTCAGGAGTCTGGCCAGGAGAATCAACCAAAAACTAAGTCCCATATATTATGGCCCATTTGAGATAATTGAAAAGATCAGTCCGGTAGCCTTTAAACTTCAATTACCTACAGACAGTAAAGTTCATCAATTATTTCATGTCTCACTTCTGAAGAAAGCTATACCATCTATCACTGCATTTCAGCCTCTACCAGCATGTCTGAGTGATGAATGGGAACTACAGGTGAAACCAGAAGAAGTGCTGGATTCCAGGGTAAACAAGGAGGGAAAGATGGAAGTCCTAGTCCACTGGAAAGACTTGCCTCCATTTGAAGATTCATGGGAAGTATTGCAGTCATTGACAGAACAGTTTCCAGATCTTCACCTTGGGGACAAGGTGAAATTCCAGGGGGGAGTAATGATAGGCTTGGGGGACAGCAACAGCCTATTCAATACTTCAATAAGGTGTACAAGAGGAGAAATAAGTAGTATTATTACTTAACTATAGAATAGCTAGTTCGGTTGGTCCCTGCGTGGACAATTAGCTATAAATAGTAAGTAGAGAACAAAATAAGGAGGCTGTTATTTTGTCATTGGCTGGTAGCTTGGAGATTGGGCATCTCGAACTGTCCCACCCCTGTATTCCTTTACTGACTTTCTCTCTCTCGCTCAATAAACTGTTGTGATCTGTTCTAGCTACATTTTCCTTAGAATTGTGATTGTTCTGTGTTCATTACTACCAGTGTTCTATCAGAGAGACTCTCTGAGGAGGATGATCAGAAAGAAGAAATGGCCTTTCAGGCCAAAGGTGATTCTTCCAACAATGAAAGAGCTCAGTCCAGTTCAAGGGGCAGAGGCAGAGGTCAAAGAGGAGGCTCTAGAGGAGGATCTAGAGGTGGATTCAGAGGTGGACACAGGGGAGGAAGAGGCAGAGGTCAGCACAATGAAGGAAGGAAGGAGTACACAAAAACCAACTCCAAAGCTCCCCTGAAGTGTTACTATTGTAACAAACCTGGTCACAAGGAAGCAGTATGTTGGAAGAAAAGTGAGGATGAAGGAAAGCAGGAGCAAAAATCAAACTATGCTGAACAGGAGAACTTGTTCTTGGCCCAACATAGTTGTGATAATAGCAGTTCTCAAGTATGGTATGTTGATAGTGGTTGTTCAAACCACATGACAAGCTCAAAGTGCATTTTCATGGATTTAGATGACTCAAAAAGAAGTACTGTACGCCTGGGAGATGGAAAGCATCTCACAGTAGAAGGCTTGGGAACCATTTCATTGCAAACTGAACAAGGCAAAACAAAACTTCTTCATAATGTTCAGTATGTCCCTGAGTTAACTCATAATTTGCTAAGTGTTGGGCAACTTTTGAGTGGTGGTTACTCAGTGATATTTGAAATGAATATGTGTGTGATCAAGGATAAGAAATCAGGGGAAACCTTGATCAGAATACTTATGGGAAAAAATAAAGTGTTTCCCTTAGACTTGACTGGGAGTGGAAGTCAGGCTCTTGTGGTTAGAGGAGAAGAGAATGCCAAGTTGTGGCATCTCAGGTATGGTCATCTAAACCTTCATAGCCTCAAATTATTAAGCACAAAGGAGTTTGTGCATGGGCTACCAAGCATTGGATCTCTGGAATTTTGTGAAGGCTGTGTATATGGGAAGCAGGCACATCTTCCATTTCCAAAAGATAGAGCACGGAGGGCAGGCGAGTGCTTACAGCTTGTACATGCTGACTTGTGTGGGCCAATGCAGACAGAATCATTGGGTGGAAGTAAGTACTTTCTGCTCTTCACTGATGATTACAGTAGAATGTCATGGGTGTACTTTCAAAAGGCAAAATCAGAGTCTTTTGAAAACTTCAGAAAGTGTAAAGCCTTAGTAGAAAAACAAAGTGGTAAGGTGTTAAAGGCTTTAAGAACTGATAGGAGAGGAGAGTTTATATCAAATGAGTTTACTCATTTCTGTGATGAACATGGGATTAGAAGAGAGCTCACAACACCATACACCCCTCAGCAAAATGGTGTAGCTGAGAGGAAAAACAGGACTGTGGTGGAGATGGCAAGAAGCATGATGAAAGCCAGGCAACTACCCAATCAATTTTGGAGTGAAGCTGTGGCAACTGCAGTCTATTTGCTCAACATCTCACCAACAAAAGCTGTGCAGGATGCAACTCCATTTGAGGTATGGAGGCTGAAGAAACCCACAGTAAGTCACTTAAAGATTTTTGGATGCATTGCATATACTTTGGTGAACCTCAGGACCAAACTTGATGACAAGACAGAAAAATGTATCTTTGTTGGATACTCAGTACAATCTAAAGCCTATAGATTGTATAATCCCCTCATTGGCAAGATTATCATTGTTAGAAATGTGATTTTTGATGAAGACTCAAGCTGGGAATGGAATCCTGAGACTCAACATGTTGAGAATCCACAAAGAATTGTTACTCTGGAAGGGTCAGAGGAAGAAATTGCAACAACACAACCAAACTCCCCTGCAACAACCTATGGTTCATCAGTCTATTCAAGTAGCCAAGGCTCAACATCATCAAGTGAATCCCCTCCTGCACGTGTCAGATCACTTATTGATATCTATGAAAGTTGTGATTTTGCTTTAGTAGCCACTGAACCCACAGACTATGAAGAGGCTGCTGCACAATCAGAATGGAAGGAGGCCATGGAAGCAGAAATAACATCAATAGTGAAGAATGAGACATGGGAACTTGTCAGCTTACCTCAAGGAAAGAATGCCATAGGCTTGAAATGGGTATTCAGGAATAAGTATAATCCTGATGGCAGCATTTCAAAGCACAAAGCTAGGCTGGTGGTGAAAGGATATGCTCAGCAAGAGGGGGTGGATTATGAAGAAACCTTCTCACCAGTTGCAAGGTTTGAAACTGTGAGGGTAGTTCTAGCTTTAGCAGCTCAATGGAAACTTCCAGTCTACCAATTGGATGTCAAGTCAGCTTTCCTTAATGGTGAGCTACTGGAAGAAGTGTTTGTTGAACAACCTGAAGGGTTTGTGAAGAAAGGGGAAGAAAGAAAGGTATACAAACTGAAGAAAGCCCTTTATGCGCTAAAACAGGCACCCAGAGCATGGTACAACAAGATTGACTCTTTCTTTCTAAGCAAAGGCTTCAATAAGAGTGAAAATGAACCAACTCTGTATGTAAAGAAGCAAGGTACAAATGACTTTATCATAGTCTGTCTCTATGTTGATGATATAATCTACTTTAGCTCTTCACAATATATGCTAGAAAGTTTTAAGAGATCAATGAAGCAGGAATTTGAGATGACTGATCTGGGGATCCTGCAGTATTTCCTTGGTTTGGAAATCAAACAAGGAAAAGATGGCATTTTCTTGTGTCAAAAGAAGTATGCCAAGGATTTACTTCAGAGGTTTCACATGGAGAAATGTGAAATAGCCCGGACACCTATGAACACAAATGAGAAGTTACAGAAGAATGATAGAACTGAGAGTGCATATGAAAGGATGTACAGAGGCCTGATAGGTGGATTGATTTATCTAACACATACTAGAACTGATATATCATTCAGTGTTAGTGTTGTGTCTAGATACATGCATTGTCCTACAAAGCAGCACTTTGGAGCAGCAAAAAGAATTCTGAAGTACATAGCAGGAACACTTGACTATGGACTATGGTATGGGAGTGTGAAAGATTTCAAACTGAGAGGATACACTGACAATGATTGGGCAGGTTGTGTAGATGATAGAAAGAGTACCTCGAGCTCAGTATTTGATCTTGGAACTGGGGCCATTACATGGAGTTCTAAGAAGAAAGATACTGTGGCTCTATCATCATCTGAAGCTGAGTATATAGCTGCAGGGGCTGCAGCAAAACAAGCACTCTGGCTGAAGAAACTACTGGGAGACCTGGGCTATGAACATGAAGAGGAACCTGATATTTGGTGTGACAATAAGTCCACCATTGCTATGACAAAGAACCCAGCATTTCATGCAAGAACCAAGCACATTGATGTGCAATATCATTTCATTAGACAGTTGGTAGCTCAGGAGAAGATCAGCTTGCAGTTTTGTAGAACAAACTTTCAGAGTGCAGACTTGTTTACTAAGGCCCTAAATCAAGCTAACCATTTCTATTTCATGGAGAAGATAGGGATGAGCAAGCTTGGATCAAGGGGAGGTGTTAAAAGTGACCAAGCTTGAAACAGATTACGTGTGCATACAACCATGCACACGTGGAAACAGTTTTTAAACTAATTGTTTTATTAATACAATTTGTTCTTAAGTGGTTGCCTAAGTTTTAGGATTGAATTAGTCATTTGAGAAAGCTTAGCATTTCGGTTATGTGTGAGTCATGTAGTCCACTTTTCTAGGCACTATCTTAGTGGTAAGTATGGGTAGTTATTCTCATTTTGTATTGGCTATAAAAGGCCTTCTGCATTTTACGTTTTAACATAGAAAAAGATTAGCAGGAGCTTTGCATCTTCTTTCCCAATCTTTTACCAAGTTTTTGAGTGTTTCTTTCTTTGGCTTGATCCAACATTTGCGGCCTGCGGAGATACGGGGAGTTTTCCAACTATTCTTCTAAGCATTTAAAAACTTCAAGAACAAGTGGATTTTTAATTGTTTTGGTCGCGTATAAGAACACCGGTGTTGTGGCCCGATAAGCAGGCACAATTCCCAGTTGTGTTGTGTTAGATGTACTTCTTTGTTCTTTCAAAGTATTCTTCTGGCATAAAACACAACTCGAAATTTGTTTAGTAAGAACCACTCTCTCCAGACATTTATGGCCTTTGAAGGAGTACTTGTAATAGTGCACAAAGGGTATAACTCTTAGGATAACACTTGACATTCATACTATCTAGTTTCCCCTTCACATGCAGATTGACCTGTGAGAAAAAACAGGCAAAGTAACTTGCAGTTTAGTATATTACTCAAGAGGCTAATATGCATACTCCCCTATGCTTACTTTCGTTGAGTTTGGATAGGCTTATACTCCGTAAATTTAAAGCGTAGTTATTTGTGTAATTCACAAGTTAGTTCATAAAGCTTAAACATATACTGGAACAACTGTTCAAAGAACAGACGAATAGCAGCAAATCCTTCAAATGTGTCTTTATCTTATTAAAAAGTGTTAATTTAAATCAAGTTTTGATGTGTTTGCATGTATGCATGCTTTTGTATTGTAGTGTTTCTGTTAATCATTTCAATTTTTTAAGACGTAGGAGGGGTTTTAATATGCCACCAACTGCAATTTTACTATCAATATGCTTAATGTTTATTACCGTAGCAATGTACCCCGAACTTGTTTTAGCCAACTCTCTTTGCAACAACAATACAGAACAGATTCTTCTTAGGTTTTTTTTTTTTAAATCCATTCACAAGTTACTTTTTCTTAATAGTTCACCAATAAAGAAACAATATCTTCAATTTAACACTTAGCTTAGGTTAGTTTTTCTAGTGAGGTAGCAAAGTTGATAGCCAATTGTCATGTGAATTGATTTTCAGATGAACAAAATCATTCTCAAAATATCTTTTTTGAATAGTGAAATTGCAATTCAATCACGATCTTTAGAGACACTCCGATGAATTGTGTAAATAGTGTTAGTCATAATGTCATCTTCAACATCTGATGCATCGTTGTCGACTTTCCTCAAGTTTGAATACTCATATGTCTGTGGAAATTTAAGCTTTAGATACTCAGTTGTGCAAGCCCTTTCACTATCTGTTGAGGAATTCCTCAAGTGTGTATGCCTATTCAAGTATGATAAGCAATTTACATATAAAATCAAATATTATAATGGATTTAAGTAATAACCAGATCTTCATCCACTGTATTCTAGGAACATGCTTTTTCTGGAATTACATTTCCTTGTTCTTTGATTTTGTCTCCCTCTGGAATCATTATGTGAGACTCATTTACTTTTTGTAACAGGAAGAGGCAGATCTTAAACACTTAAAAGAATAACAGTTGGAGAGAAAATAGTATTGCAGCTAGAGACAACTCGAGCTCTTCGCATTCACAGAAAGATTTAACATTGCATTGGGTTTGAATTTCATGTAGTTCAATATTATTCACAGCATTGCGATCAACTTTGAGTTTGTTTGAGTTATTGAGTATTTACAATCATTTTATATGAATGAAGTCATTGAGTTATACAAGTCTCAATCTAAACAATTTATTTTGCAGGATTTATTTTAACTAAGATATTATATTGTAGTATAAATCATCACAGAGGAAGTATTAGAAATATTATATACAACAAGTAGCTCATGTTTTTGTCTTGTCTCCCATGTCGTAGAGTTTTAAATTACAAATGTCAAATGTACTCTCTATGAAGATGGTTGCGGTTACAAAAAATGAAAAGTATGCCTTTATATATTGCTGGAAGTTCAGAAGCTTATAATCAACTAAGCATTTACATATCCTTCAGGATACAATAAAAAAAACAAAAGGGGCCATATGTTAAACTTACGGCTTGACCACAAGAGAAGGTTAATCAAAACTATTAAAAGAACTAGCTGAAAGTAAAATATGTTTGCATCGCAGCTTAGTAGCAGATAAAACACCAGTTATCATTGATCTAGCATCCCAACACAAACTGCCTGCAATAAAACTCAGCCCTAAAACCCAGTAATTCCATTTTAACACCAAACCAAGTAAAGAACAAAGATGAATATTTAGAACCATCCATCAATATTATTCCAATCATCAGCAAAACTAGTTTATAATCATGAAAAACAACCATATCCATTAGTTGGTGAAATATATCACTATGCTGTCAGGGGATCCCCCACTGTTATAGAAACTTGCAAATGCAATTGTTGAACTGTTGGATCCTATGGTGCTTCTTAGTTATTTGAAAGGGCAATGATGATCCTGGCACTGAATCGTGAACTTTGATCCTTGAGTAGAACTTGGAGATAATTTAGTTGGCAATGTTTTGTTTGAGATGAAGTTTTTGCTTCTCAATGTAGTTTTCAGATAATCTGATCAATAAGATTCACTGTCAAATAAAGGGAGTGTCTGAAACCAGCAAGTCAGCAGCTAATTTCTTGGCACAAAAAACACTACACCCAATATGTAGTAACAATAACTTTCATTTCTCATGCGATTCATTTTATCTGACACAACTTGCGCGCATTGATAACCTAAAAGGAGTCATATCAATCGGAACAATTTTCCGCTCTGTCTTGGAACCAAACCCATATCTTTGGCCATTATGTGATCGATCAATTTTGAGCCTTATGAATTGTCGGGTCAACACAACACATCCCCAGAGTTGGGGCTTCTAAACTCTCTTTACATACGTAATTTAATCATATCTGCCGTGAATCCGTGATGATACAAATGAAAGGCCAAAGACTAATTTAGTGAACATCTAAACATAACCCAAAAGCCTAAATCAGATATAATCTAAATCGGCTATACTCCGTAATGAATTTTCCTTATTAGTATTGTTTATTATTACTAATTCAGCCGGCTCAACTAACTAATAGGCAGTATATCAGCAGCAGCAATTAGCAGGTTATCTTCTTCGTGAAACACCTGAAAACGAAAGGAGTTGCGGCTTACCTTTTTGATGACAGATGAGCGGCACGGCAGCGGCTTAGGTGATCATCAGCGGCAGAAGCTCTCCCGTTCTTTGACGTCAAAACCCAGTCCTGTGAAACTTCGGCGAAACTCCGGCGAGTGATATCTCTCTTCTTACATTCGTTTTCAACGATTCTTGATTCGTTGGATTTCTCTAACAAAGGGGAAGGTTTTAGAATTGATTTCTAACAAAGGGGAAGGTTTTAGAATTGATTTCACGGCTCGGTTTTGGCTAAAACGAAGGGTCGAAAATTCGTATATAAATATGTATATATGTATATATTAGTTTGAGCTCAGCTCCGTGTGCGTTAAAACGTAGGTATGGGTAGCTGTTTATAGGTGGGAGGTGAGGGTTTTAGGCTGAGATGTTAGAGTTGAGTTAAATTAAAACAACTTCTTCCCCGCCCGATTTTACTTCGTGGGTTGCGTACTTGCGTTGGTTTGCCGGCCAAGAAAGAAGAAAGAGCGGAAGGAATTCTTATCTGATTAGAACTTTGAATGTAGTTGCTTTTGAGTTCAGGTTCAAGCTATGTGCGTAAGATTTCTTTTCCTTTCCTTTTTAAAAAAAAAATTGAATTACTATTATATAAAGGTAGATTCTATGGTACCCATAAAGTACCATACCTTTGTCCACATGGACCAATGAATGTGTTGCAGTTGAATTATTTCATTCTAAATTAAAAATAATATACATATTTGGACCAATCAAATGAATGGTAGGTACGGTACCCTATTTTTTTAAATGGGTACCGGAGTTGTCACCTTATATAAATACCTACATAGATAGTATTATAGTAGGTTTTTAGTTATAATGTTATGTGTTTTTATGTGTATAATTGCACATCTATTATTAAGTGTTTAGCATTTATAAAACTGTCACTTTCATAATTATCATAAGAATGTTATTTTTATTATTCAAATATTTTTATCTGATTAGAATGTCACACTTGTTGAAATTTTGTCTGATTCAGTTGATAAAAATCTCACTTTTATAATATTTTATTTTACTAATAAAATTCTTTTAACTTACTAATAAAATTATTTATTTTATTTTATTTAAATTTTTCGAGGTGTCACAGTAGGCCCCGAGGTAGTTACTTCTGACCTTTAGTACTTTCCTCACAAACCGCCACTAGCCTTTTCCGCGCACTTTGTCCTCACTCGTGCGCACCCTGAGAAACTTTCCAGGGGGTCACCCATCCAAGACTACTCCCGTGCAAGCACGCTTAACTTTGGAGTTCTTGGCTGAAGAGCTCCCTTAAAAGGAGATGCATCTTGTTTGTATGAGTAGTACTATTAATCCGATTAAATTAAATCTCAAGTATTACAGTGCGTCAGTGTATGTACGAGTTTTTGAGGTCGTTTTTAGGCAACTTCCTAATCCTAAACACGTCTTATTAAACCTAATTCCTTCCTAAACCTAGCAGCCCTCATTTCTAATCCCCTGGAGATTTTTGAGTGCTTCTGAAGCATTTTGTAGAGCAAATTCTTGGTCCTTTCATTACCAAAGTTTAGATCTACAATGGTAAGTTATTCTTTCACGTCTTAGAACGTTTCTTGGTCAATTTAATCGTTAGGGTAGTGATCTCTTGCGTAAACCTTGTGAGGTTCCAATCTTAAGATCTCTAAGAGCTTGGAATTGAGTTTGTGATTGTCTTGCATAGAGGTAAGTACCTTCTACAACCAAAATCATTATTTTCACCCCAAATTATATATCTAGGGTTTTGTGAAGTGTTTGATTCAAATATGGATTGTGTCGTGTTTTGTTTGGATTGAGATTTTTAATCTATTAATATAGATTCTGGATTTATGAGCAATATGATTTTGAGAATGTAATCATTATATATGTTTTGAAAACTATATATATGATTTTTGGAATTATATCCCTAATACTTGAGTTGTGAGTATTTATTATACTCTTTTGAGAAATTGAAATTGAGAAGGTTTTGAAATATGGTTTTGGAATTGTTTATGCTATGCATATGTTTTGAATATTTATATTAAAATAGATATTTTGATAAAGATTTTAGAAGTCAAATGGTTTTGAGAAATCTTAATAACGATTTCATAATGATGAAGTATCACGTATCATCCGTGATACTGGTCCCACAGCCTCTTAACTTGTGGGAGTGTTTAGGGCTGCTACTACCCATATTGATTTCGTTTGGTATGAGGTTATTGTTGGATGTTACATCCTGGATGACAGTAGTAGTTCCTAATACACTTGACGAACCTAGGATAATTTCCTATTTGTGATAGAGAGGCCTATCGTCTTTACTATCGGATCTTCTTACTACTCTAGGGGCTTGGAATCCCTGTTTAGAGGGTGTGCACACTTAAGGTAGAAGGTTAGCTTCCAAACTGGTTGGTTGTAGAAACTGGGTATGTGACTTATGTGTTCATCGGGGTGAAGTAACTCTTGATACTCGCCTATATTTATAGTGGCTTAATATATGAATTGTGATTATGGTTTGGCATGTCAATTTAATTAATAAATGCCTTTTGATTATGAATTGGTTAAAGTGGAATTTGATTACGTTTTTGCAAATCAATTTAATTGGATGTATGCCTTTGAATAAAGTTTTGAGAATGAGATTGAGTATGGTTTTCCTAATGTTTTTCTATTCTTTAAAAACAATTATTGATGTATGTTTGTGGACTGTTTTGGACTCATATTATATTGAGTTAAACTATGCTTTGAAACTTATTATATATATATATATATATATATATATATATATATATATATATATATATATATATATATATATATATATATAAGTATTGATTTTTTGGAAAAGGTTTTACAAACTAAAACTATTTTCTAATCTATTTATTTTTCGGGGTTGAGTGAGGATTTACTTAGCTCTAAAGCTAATGTTTCTCTTCTCTTTGTTGTGTTTTCTTCTTTACTATATATATATATATAAATATATATATATTTATATATATATATATATATATATATATATATATACACAGGTGAGGAGGCTTGAATTCGTTTTGGAGAGGCTTAGTTCATGTAGTATTTTATTTATTGCCGCACTTTAGACTTACTTTGCATTTGAAGTTTTGGGTCATGTAAACGTATTTGCTTGCTGTTTTGGGTTTGTAACCCTTGCTACTTATTGCTCATGTTTTGTTTTGATGGTTAGCATATGCATTGGGTTATGTGAGAACCCAATGTGGCGGTAATACCCTCTTTCAGTTTTAAGACTTCCGCTGTTATATTTTTCTTAAATTCTTTTAAAGTTAAATATTTTAGGTATTAATTACTAGTATTATCTACTAGGGCTGGGTGGTGAATTTGGAGGTGTTACACGGCCCGCCTGTGCAATCGAAACATGGCACTAGCTGTGTATCCAAGAGTATATGGAAATATAGTTGCACCTGCACTACCATTTATAACCTTTAGTTCCGTGGAAGGGCGCTTGATCCTAACACATGTATTTGAATGGATCATATCTTGTTGTATTTGATTCCTTTCAGATCCGTTTTTATCTCTTTTAAAGATAATATGAGTATATAAAAGTCTTATATAGACTTCATATACTAAATACTAATGAAAGGTTACACATTATACTGAAACTCACAAAT